GGGCAGCGCTGGGCAGCGCTCAGCGTGCTGGACCGGGAGCCGTGCTGCGAAAGCGGGGATGCCTGGTACTTCCGAGTGGGTTTCACTTTTGGGCAAAGCCAGCTGGTGTGTGCAGCCAAGGTAAGCAGGGAATGGGGGAAAATCATAGAATGGTTTGGGTTGGAAGGGACCTTAAAGCTCACCCAGTGCCACCCCCTGCCCTGGGCAGGGACACCTCCCCCCAGCCCAGGTTGCTCCAAGCCCCGTCCAACCTGGCCTTGAACACCTCCAGGGATGGGGCAGCCACAGCTTCTCGGGGCAACCTGCCCCAGGGGCTCACCGCCCTCACAGTCAATCCTTCCTCATATCTCATCTCAATCTCCTCTGTTTCAGTGTCAAACCGTTCCCCCTCGTCCCACGGCTCCCCTCCCTGACCCAGAGTCCCTCCCCAGCTCTCCTGGAGCCCCTTTAGGCACTGGAAGGGGCTCTCAGGTCTCCCCTTTTTCGCCTCCTCTTCTCCAGGCTGAACCCCCCCAACTCTCCCAGCCTGTCCTCCCAGCAGAGGGGCTCCAGCCCTCCCAGCATCCCCGGGGCCTCCTCTGGCCCCGCTCCAACAGCTCCGTGTCTCTCCTCTGTACAAATGCCCCGGGTGGTGCAGAGGGAACCGGCTCCTGGGCACGGGGGGTCGCGGTGCTGCAGGGAAGCGTGAACTGGGAGCGCTGGCTTTTCCACTGACCCCCGTCACGGAGGCGCTTCCCCTTTGTGCACCTACTTCTGCATTTGCTGAATGGGATGGCACCACTGGCACAGACCACAGCTCCCACGGGGCCAAAGGACACGTCAAGGAGAACGGCACCGCTGGGGGCGATGCCATGGCAAGCAGTCTCGAGGGGCCAGTGGTCACAAAGTAGAGGTCGGAGCAGAGCCGCCTCCTCAGGCAGCGCAGGATGAGACCCACCAAAGCAGCTTTGCAGCTCACCTGGGGGTTACACCACCCCCTTCCTTTCCCATTTCTCACTCAAAGCCATTCTGTCAGAAGCCAGTGGACTTGGGGGGTGCGGGGGAAGACCAGCACCCTGCGTGGGTAGGACCAGGGCTGGTGGCCCTGAGCTGAGGCGGTGGCCCAGCCCAGGACGAGGCACCCCGTGGCTCCATCCTCGCGCAGCTGTCCCTGCCCTGTCTCTCCTTGCAGGTCCCCAAGCCGTGCTGCGCCAGCCTGAGGGTGCAGAGCTCCCTCGGGGCGCACTGCAGCATCCAGCGCCTGATCGGCCGCTTCACCGACCGCCTCCCTTGGGAGCTGGTGCTCCCGGGAAGCCCTGGGGAGCAGAGTCGGTCTCCTTCCGGAGAGCAGCCGGCCCATCTTGCCACCTGCCCTGTCCTGCAGGTCCTCATTTCTCCTGAGGTTCCCTACCAGACCCTGGCAGGCTTTGTGAAGGGATCCCGTGGTTTGCACCGGACCAGCCCTGGGCATTACGAACGCCTGGCTTGCCTCCTCCTCCTGCAGGTGTGCATGGGGCTGGAGCACCTCCGGGTGCAGAACATGGGGCAGGGAGACCTCTGCCCGGAGAACCTGCTGCTGGTGCAGTGCCCGTGTCCTGCCCAGAGCCAGCAAGGCAAGGAGGCATCCCTGGGGCTGTCCCTTCCGAGGCTGCTCATCAGCAGCTTCTTCAAGGTTAAAGATAAGCGAAGACCTTATTCTACCAGCCAAGAGCAGGACTGGACCGAGGGTCTTGCTGCATCACCCTCCCCAGTGGCAGACGAGCTGAATGTAGGCATGCTGATCTATGAGATCTTGCACGTGGACATCTCTCTGGAGAACGCCTTGGAGTTCAGAAGCAACAGACTTCCTGAGATCCCCTCCCTGTCCATCTATTCCACGGGACTCAAGCGTCTGGCCATGCTGCTTCTCCACAGAGATCCCTGCAAGAGGGTCTCCATCGAGCAGGCAAAGAGCATCCTGCAGGTCCTGCTCTGGGGGCCTCGCCAGGAGCTCTTCGCCAGGAGCAAGAAGACCCTCCCCCTGCTCCGGAGCTGGGTGGAGGTGAAGAGGGCTCTGCTGCTCCTGAAGTTGGCAGAGAATTCGGCCGGGGCGGTGGGGAGCCCCGGCCTCGAGGAGTGGCTGTGCTGCCAGTACTTCAAGGAGGTCACCGAACACACGCTCTACCAAGTCACCCAGGCTCTCTACACGCCCTAAAGGCAAGCTCAGCCCACCCAAAAGCTCTCCTCAAAGCCAAGAGCCCATGAGAACCTAGCCAAAAGCCGGACCAGTTCACAAGGAACCCAAGCTGGTCCTTGGCTGGGAGAACTCCGTTTGCAAACCTGAACCTGCTTCCCCCAGCAGCACATGAATGATGAAGCTGGGACCAAACTCGCCCCGGGGCTCCCACAATGCAGGGTGTGTTTTTACACCTTCTGCCAATTTTTGTTTGCTACTGTGAGTCCAGTTTATCAGAGCATCTCAGGAAAGAGGGCTGGACGGAAGCCACAGGATCAAGTACCACCAATTTAGTAGCTGATTATTCCAAGTAGGGCTTACGGGGCTTGGACTTTGCACAAAAACCCCCTCAGACCCTTCCTGCGTCCACGAGGCTTTCACTGGTTTAAATAACAACGCAAAAGCCAGACATTAGCGCTCACCTTAACGCACCGGAGAAATACAATACCTCGGACAGCCCGCTCTTTTTACAAACAGTTTGTGGCATAGTCACAAATATAAATGACATTTTAAAGGGGGAAACTACAGCAACCACACAGCTTCAATAAAACCCAGACCTGAGCCTCTTAAATACCGGTCTTGTATGTGCTTCTTTGATGGCATTACACACCCCAGTGATGGATCCAGCGAGAAACACAAAGCCAGAGTCCACTGCCCGGCGGTGATTAGCCACAACAGCCTCGATGGCGTCTAGTAAATGGCTCGGGTGAGTTTACGGCTGCTGCACATGGGGACGGGCTGCAGAGTGGGTGTCGGGCTGCACCAAGGCAGAGCCATCGCATCAGCTGCTTGGTGCGAAACACACAGCACCAGGCGGGAGCTGTGCCCTGGTCCATGCAGCTGCGGGGCGGCCATCACAGTGACACGCCATGCAAGGCCCTGCTCAGGTCATTCATATTATTATTAGAATCATAGAATCACAGAATGGTTTGGGTTGGAAGGGACATTAAAGCTCACCCAGTGCCACCCCCTGCCCTGGGCAGGGACACCTCCCACCAGCCCAGGTTGCCCCAAGCCCCGGCCAACCTGGCCTTGAGCACCTCCAGGGATGGGGCAGCCACAGCTGCTCGGGGCAACCTGCCCCAGGGGATCACCACCC